TAGAAAGAATTTCAGATTGTTTCTTCTTTGAAGTTGGTAGTGCCTTTAAAATTTTTTTAAATGCTTTTTCTTTTTGTTGAGCGTTTTTAAAGGATGAGCTTGGTCTTTGAGATTGATTTAAAAGTTTTCTTTTTAGAGCGCGACTTTTTAAAACTCTTAATTTTGCTTTAGCAGCATAAGCTGTTTTTTTATTTGGATCGGCTTTCAATTTTTCTCGATATCTCGTAGATCTTTTTTTGGACATTTCTTTCTTTCTATCAGCATTCGGAGAAACATAATTAGCTTGGTATTCTGCATAACGTTTTTTTTTTTATTTCTAATTTTGATTCCATTTCTTAAAAATTTACAACTTTTTAGGAAAATGCCAACATAAATCCAATAACTTACAAATATTTACTAATAGCCCTGCACAATACTTAAATGATAAATTTATTTGAATAAAACCCACAACGAAATCTGAACATTTGTATGATATTTTGACTTCCTTACCACGCTATTTTACAAAACGCTAATTATCCCGTTGATATGTTCAGTGGCGCAACAGCTTTTAAACTTTAACTTTAAGTTAATATAATCCTTTTTAACCCAATTTTTTTTTAATATTGATGAAAAGTTTACGTTAACATATATAATTTCTAAAAAAACGTCGCCTTAAAGCCTAATTTCATTGCGTTAATTAAACTTTTTTAGCTTTTAGTTCAGTGACGCAACCAAGTTTTTGCAGATGTGAATGTGACAAAAAAACACTTGAATTATTTTTAAAGAGTAACTCAAAATATATATATAATTTCAAAGTAACAAAAATATAGATATGTTTTGTTTAAAATATTGCAATGACTTGCCATCAAATTTTACTCACTTTTTTGAATAATAAAAAGAAATCAAATTTGTCTACTCGGTTCAAATATTTTTTACTCAAAATTTATTTTAACAATAACTTTATGGTGTTTACACTGCAATTGAAGACAAAAAATTTTTTGAAAAAAGAAATTTTTAAACACGAAATTTATCACTTCCATCGTGGAAATGCCAAATTATATTTTGAGATAACTTTGTCTGAATTATTTGCTGTTTTATGTTCTTAAAGAACAAATAAATTTAAAGCGATTTTTAGATTAATTTGATGATTATAATAAAAATAAGTTAGTTATTTTTTTGCAATAAATTATGCTTTATGTACCGTATATCTGAGTTGAAGCTTCCGCGATGTACCATATATCTGACATGAAGCTTTCGCAATGGCGTTATCCTTTATTAAAAATGAAAAAACCATTTCTAACTTACTTTTTATGATCAAACGTGATTTTTATTAGCACGACTAAATAAAAAGTATAAAGTTTTTTAATTGTTCCTATACAATAAACTAATTATAATTGTTTATAAAATATTTTTAAAACAAGTCAGAAAATTATTAAGGATATAAGAAAAAAGATTTAACAATTTAACTTCAAGACTTCAGATAAAAAATATCTGTCAGATTAGAAAGCCTAGCTGTCCCATGGTTGATCGCAAATAGTTCTTTAAATTTTGCAGCCATGATACCTTTTTAATCCTTAAAACCAAAAAACAAACTTGAAAGACTAAAGGTGACTTCAGCTTTAAAGCCATACTACCTGCACAATCCACCTTGGATACTGGGCACAATCCACTTTGGATACTAAACAGATGCCAAAAGAGGCCCAACTAGGTTTCAGGCGAACCCTGGGCATAAAGTTACTTTCAGCGTCCCAAGCAAGCAGTAATTGGCAAACACTGACACAACCTTGAACGGCTATGTAGAAAACACATTATTTACCTCTGTGATTTTTTTGACGTGACAGTGGGATTTTTGCCTAAGAAAAAAGCAGACGCAAACTTATATTTCTCATCGAGGCTTAGTATTTCTCGCTTGACCAATAGTCGCAGTGTCCTATGTCTAATTTTTAAAAGTCACCATTTACGTAAACCTGGTAAGTATAGCACCATGATACTTAACTCAATCCCGTTTTATTTTGAAGCACTTTTCTTTTAATTCTGACTGCTTTCTAAATAAGAACAGCCAAGTATGTTGCAATATATAAGCAACATGTATCATGCTCCTTTTGGCGAAGCAAAAGAACTAAAGCTAAACGGATACTAATTTTTTGGCTCAGACTGTGGATGTCTTCGATGCAAACGGATTGTTTTTCTGTCCATCTCTTGCCCACGTTTGCTTTCCATTATTCGAGAAATAGATGCAACTGAGAAATGAAATCAGGCAATTTTATTTCTCAGTTGCAAACATGAAGAGGTTACTAACAAGTTTGTCTACGCCCATACCACCAAAAGAGTTTTTCCAGAAGCACTTAATTATACCCGGGGATTATCATTTTGGCTTCAACAGTCACTAAGTGACGGCGTTTTCCCTGCAGAAAAAATCTTAATGTTTCTACCACTTGGTTCCCATTTTGTCAAGAGTTATTAAGTTTTTTGTCTGAAGATACTGTTAAGTAAGATCAACTTTCTCAAGCACAGCATCACAAAAGTACAGGTAGTAGAGAAATGTAAAATCATAGACAGAAGGTAAAAAGTTTAGTGTTGAAAATCTTGCGTTCACTTTTCACTAGGACCACATTGAGCTTCAATCGTTGCCACACATTTATCAAACTTTTCTTTTATTGGCTTTTTTTGACCAACATTGCAACATTACAATTCGACCAATATCTCATCAATTGGTGAAAGCAGCAAAGAAAA